CAGTTGTTGACATAAATCAATAATTGTGACTTTATAGGACTAAAATAATAACCCTGATTAAACAGAATAAGTAAATCATTAGCTGCCAGAAAGAGCATTAGTGACTAATAATGACTGGGGCTGAGTGAGGTTACAAATACAACTAAATAAGACACAAGGAGTCAAGAAAGGTAAATCTTCAAAGCAGGAAGAAAAAACAAATGATGTGAGACCTATTACTGAATGAGTTTTAAAAAATTCACATAAGTGGAGTTTTTCAACTCTTAGGGTCTATATAAATTTGGTTAATAATGGCAGATCATATGCCTATAAAATAAGATATGGCAAAAGACTTGTTTGAGATCCCATAAAGCAAGTAGAGGTAGCTATACTTTGCTGCTCCTGCTTCATTAACAGCGTAGATCCGTCCCTATGTGGGATGCACTTTTTCGTTATTTTGAAGCTCTACCCCAGCTGTGGTCTGGGACCTGTCCCCGGGGGATCCTCATCCGCATGGTGGCACTTTGTGTCACCAGGTGTTTATCGCTTGATGTGATGTCCTGGTGGGGTAAAATGTCAGTCACTCAGTTCACTAACAGCAGTTACAGAGAAAAATGAGAGGTGATCCTTTGGAATCTGGCACTGTAGTCTTTATTTAGCCTGTGATTATTCTGACATATCAACAAAATAGCTGTTCATCTTTTCAAATACGAAACACACAAAAAAAAACATAACAGATAAAGACACTCACATTTCCTATATTATCACCCCCCTCTTCGACATTCAGCTTGGTAGCATCATTGATCATTGAGCGTATATCAATTATCTGACCAAACTATTTAACAAAAAAGCAAATTGTGAAGCAAGATGTCATATGTTTTCAATAAAGCAATATTTACAATGTTATACAGTATTTAACCTGCTAATTGGTTTAACCAGAAATTTGTCAACACTTTTCTTTTTCTTCCACCCCCACTCCCACCCCACCCCCACCCCCACATCCTTTTTCCACCTTCCCTATTAAACATACATAGGCTTTCAACCAATGTGTACCAAGTGATGATATCCTTTGCTGTCATGTAGTGGAGATTATCCAATATAATTTCATTATCTTCTTCAGCCCATTCTTTTTTTTTTCTTCTCAATGTGTTTACTAGTCTGCCTATATTCCTTTGATCCTGTGGGTTCCAGTGTAGGAATATTCTAGTTATATTTTTTATCATGTTTTATAAACACTCATTCAGAAATAAAGACTTCCCTCTTCTTGATGACATAGTGATTGATGTATCAATGCAGTAGTATAGCTACCGCAGCTATGCAAACAACATCCTTCCCATTTTGAGACGCAGTTGTTGTTTTTTTTTAAGCCCCACCCTGGCTGGTGACAGGGGCCCTAATATAACCTAATCTATGGATTGACCAGGTTTCTGAAACCTGTCCCAGGATGATCCCCATCCAAATGGTGATACTTTGAGTCACCGGGTGTTTATCGCTCAGCGTTATGTCCTGATGGGGTTGAACATCAATCAATCTGCAACCACAGGGATTAAAAGCTGAGCTTGGAACCATAGGTTTACAAAAACTCATCACCCCACCTCATTATTCCATGCCCTGTAATATGTAAAAAACCAAATAATTAACAAACAAAAAATAGCTGTATCTGTTAAGGAATTACCTTTGCCTTGTATTAACTAAAAATTTATTAGACTGCTTTCTTTCTGAAACTACTTTACTTCATGCGGGAGGCCCAGGTTCCACCCCCTGTAAAATGATGAAGTTTTTCTGTCAGGGGCAAAAATTAAACATACTAAACTGCAGAGTCCGTGGCCACAGCACTAGCCATACTTACTCTAAATCCTCAGGCTCATGACCCCTGGGCAGCACCACTCGTAAAAGTAGTAAATACAGACTGTAGTGACAGTGTTTTTTTTTTTTTAAAGCATCATCTGTAAAGGTCATTGTTGCCCATGACCGATATTACTGTCAGTGTGTTCTTCTTCTACTTCTGCATTTACCTTCTAAAGGGAAGTTGGTATATTGTGTTGTGGTTTACTTCTTCTACTTTTGCATTTGCCCTTTCAAGAGAAGTTGGTATTGCCCTTCAAAGAAAAGTTGGTATATTGTGTTGTGGTTTACTTCTTCTACTTCTGCATTTGCAATTTGTCAGGGTTCGCCCTGTTATGGGTCAGTTCTGTATGATGATGATTAATCTCATCATCGTACCCTGCGACCCTTAGTGCAACTCAGTAGTGTATACACACGTATAAATGAGTATGAATGTATGAGCGAAGCGTAGCTTGGTCAAGGACAAGTGGACTTCATAAAAATATCCTGAAATATCATGAAAATCTCGTGAACTCGGAACGCAGAACAAAACTGGTGTGCAGGCGAGACTGGGGACTCTCTTGGCTCGTGACCTGACACTTGCTTGTGTGACTGCTGTGTAGCTTGACGTGTGACGAATATTAGATTGTGCTAGATTTAGGGACAGTTCGTTTTGACTTGTAGAAATGTACCAGTGTAGTTAGTATCTGTAACGTCATTAAATGTATTTAATTCATTACTAAGTAGATAACATGTGTTCTATTTAGATCTTAGTTAGTATTACATGTAAGATAGTAGCTAGACTGTGTCAGTAGTTGTAACTAAAGCCAGACCATGCATTGTTGGTGGTGTTAGCACTGTCGATGCACTTCTAGGCCTACACGTGGCGTGTGCCATAGCGTTTTTGGCATCGGGAGACAGCGGGTTGAGTTGGTGCTGTACGAGAGAGTGGTAACGGCTCAAAGCTTATATCATGAATGTGTAAAGGCGCCTCTAAGCGATTTTAAAGTTAGACGCAACCTGGTTTAAGAATAAGGAGCGCTACCCCTCCTGAGGGGTTTTTCCGTCACATTTATTTCTTTGATAATAAAGATTGTGTGTGTGTTGCAACCAGTGTTTGGCTTAGGTATGTTTGTCAACGGTGTTTTCCTGTCATTAGCCTACAGCAGAGCCACTAGAATCGAACCCTAAACAATTAGGTTCTTGACACCGTTTAAAGGGAAGTTGGTATATTGTGTTGTGGTTTACTTCTTCTTCTTCGCGTTTGGTTTTGTATGCGCAGGTCAGACCATCAGGTGGGTTCCTTCTATGAATTTGCATGTCAGCCGAAGGTCCTTCATGGTTCCCCATAGCTTGGTTGTGGTTTACAACTAAAGTCTGCAATATCTGCACCTTTGACCCAACCTCAGCAAACCTCTAAGTCACCTTTGAAGCCATGCTTGTATGGGGCAAGGAGCATTGGGTCTACTCCGCCACCCCCTCCCCACCTCCCCCCCCCCCAAAAAATAGGGCTCTGAAACACATATGGGGATGTTAAGGTGTGTAGTGTAGGATAGGCTCATTTCATGGCTGACACCATTAGGCAAGGCACCTGATGATGATGAATATCATCTAAGGTGTATTTATGTATGCTGTTATATGCTTACCTTTATAGAGTCATCACACTTGATGGGCGATGTGGTAAACTTAACGCTGGCCTCCTTTACTTTTCAGGATATTTCCTAGTGCCATTTTTAAGCAGGGTCTAGCTTGGAGCCAGAGTCGATTGTAAGAATTTGCTCTGATGTGGATTTGAGCTGTAAACTATTGGCGGCCAGGCATGCATGTAACCATTTTGTTACCAAGCTGCACAAAGAGTAAAGGACCATTTTTCCCGCCTTCAGGTGTTTTGGGCATACAGGGCTAGACCTATACTTTATAGACAAACTGGCACTTGGTGGGGGATGTGATCAGCATCATGTCAGCATCATGACTGCCGCCTTTACTTCCCAGGACTTGTACCTTGTACCCACTCAAGGCTGGGTCGACCTGGGAGCCAAGGTCATTTTTTTGTTTAAAGTCTGGCTCCGTCAGGATCCGATCCCACAACCTTTCAATCTGCAGGCGAGCATCTAGCCGACACTCACCACACTGAGTCTTGCTTGAAAAAGGTTGTTTTAAAACAAAATCTAAATGCAATAGTCAACCTTCCTAGTTTTGGAGCACTCAGGACAAACCTCAGATGCTCCATTGTTTCCACTGACTGTCTGTCCTTGTAAGCAAAGGCTGTCAATGTTAGCATTGGCAGCACCAACCTCCTTTGTCTGAAGAAAAATTAGCTCCCCATTTTAGTACCCAAAGGAAAGAAAAAAAAAAATGTCTGGAGGCATGCTGAAAAATTTCAGCTGATTATCCCAACTAAAAATTCCTTTAAAATATCATCATCATCATCAGGATAGACTGCCGACTGGCATGCCTCACCACAATCTGCGATCAAGGCACCTGCATTGTTCGTGTGAATACACCTCCAGGCTATGCAATGTATGCTCAAGAATGCTTACGTTGTCTACCTCTATCCCTCACACTCCACAGATCGATACAGTGGTCACAACATGTTCTATTTCCCTCTTCTCATAACATGGCCGAAAAATTATGACTGTCTCCCTAGTGTCTTTTGATAAGTTGTCAGGCTTCCCCTCTTGGAGCCAGAGTCGATTGTTGCTCTTTTTGGCTGTCTGATTCTAAGCATTTGAGATGTAAAACCATTTGCGGGCAGACATGAAATTGTTTGACCTACCTTTTGTCCAGGATTCAAGCCCTATGCACAAAGAGTATGTAGCAACCATTTTTTTTTCTAACTCGCCTTCAGAGATTATTGGGCAAGATGGCTTCACCTATATACAGTAGAAACCTCGACAAACGAGCACCTCTGGTGGGGCATAACGAGCAAAACAAATTGTCAGCATCATTAACCTAGCGACGCCTTTAACGAGTGGCCAGGGGACGGATTTTTGTAACATCAGTTTTAGCACTCACTCAGTAGCATTGTGGTGTCGACCTGTGATCCAACAGATTTTTTTTTTGTTTAAAGTCTGGCTCCGTCAGGATCCGATCCCACAACCTTTCAATTTGCAGGCGAGCATCTAGCCGACACTCACCACACTGAGTCTTGCTTGAAAAAGATGTTTTAAACACAAAATCTAAATGCTATAGTCAACCTTCTGTCTAGTTTTTGGAGCACTCGGGACAGGCTCAGATGCTCCATTGTTTCCACTGACTGTCTGTCCTTGTAAACAAAGGCTGTCTATGTTACCATTGGCAGCACCAACCTCCTTTGTCTGAAGAAAAATTAGCTTATATTTTAGTACCATCAGAAAAGAAAAAAAAACTTTTCAATGTCTGGAGGCATGCTGAAAAATTTCAGCCGATTATCTAAAACTAAAAATTCCTTTAAAATATCATCATCATCATCAGGTGCCTTGCAACTGGCATGCCTCACCACAATCTGCGATCTCCTGCAGCATGCATTAGTTCGTGTGCCGACACACCTCCATGCTATGCAACAAAACTGTCAAGAATCTTCTCTCGTTGTCTACCTCTATCCCTCCTTCCACAAATCTTTACAGTGGTCACAACATGTTCTATTTTCCCTCTTCTCATAACATGGTCGAAAAATGATGACTGTCTCCTTCTGATGTCTGTGATAAGTTGTCTTCAGGCTTCCGCCTCTTTCAAAACCTCTTGGTTGCTCTTTTTGGCTGTCCAAGGTATTCTAAGCATTCTTCTGTAAAACCACATCTCTGAGGCCTCAAGAAATTGTTTGGCCTGCCTACCGATTGTCCAGGATTCACAGCCATATGTTAAAACTTGATGTATGTAGCAAGCAAGAATTTTTTTTTCTAACTCTCAATGACAGAGATATATTGCACAAGATGTTCTTCATTTTATATATGCGACTAAAAACACATTATAAGAATTCAGTTTAGTCATGATCTGACATAAATTAGTAAATGGGATAAATTCTTCTTCTTCTTTTGTGTTAACCCTTAAAAGGGTGGCTGGCACACTGTACTGTGGTTTACAGCTAGACTGTGATTTCTGCATCTTTCACCTCAAAACATCTGATTCAGCAAACACTAATTAGTCACCCATTATGACATAGATGTGAGGAGGACAGTGAATATATTCTTTTTTCTTCCAAAAATGGGGTCCCAGAACCCTCAGGGAAGGAAGAATTTAAGACAGGCAGACATAAAAGAAATGTCTGGGCAACTGCCAGTGTCAAAAGACATAAGACAAAGAACTGGCAATATATTTGGCACATTCTGAGAAGGGGGTTAGAAAAACCCAACAGGCACTAAAATGAGAAACAAATTAAACACATTTGGTCCTAAGATAAATGTTAAAGAGAGCGGGAAAAATACTGATTTGGATTCCACACATGATATTGAAAAGGCTGCACAGGATAGAAAATAACTAACCGCTAGTAATTTCACCAGACAATTTTACTTCAAGTAGTTTGCCATTGATGTCACAAACTTTGAATGTCTAGGCTCTGTAACAAATAGCAATGGAGACTGACAGAAATCAAAAGCAATGCAAAGTTTAACAGCATTAAAAGTCTATGGTTAAGCACCAGCAAGAAAATCAAAATTAAAATTCTGAGAGCATGCATCTTCCCGGTAGCAACATACGGATGTGAATCATGGACTATCTCCCAGTCCTTAAGAAAGGAAATAGGGGCTTTTGAGCTGAAACACTTGAAAAAAAATTATCAGAATACCATGGGCGAAGAAAAGAAGAAATACTGACATTTTAAAAGATCTGAACATCAAGAAATACTGGCTAATAAACAGCATCCTCTCTCAGAAGCTGAAATAATTAGGTCATAACAAGCGCCATGGTGGATTTGAAAAAAATAATAGCAGAAGGCATGGTACCAGGAAGGAGGGGCAGAGGCTGACCAACATGAAGATGGGCACAGGATATAAGTGACTCCTTGAATATGAAAGTAGACGAGGCAGGAGAGCTGGTGAGAGACCAAGTTTTTTTCAGGCAGACCGTGATGAGAGTGATGTTCTGCAAAGGACTTGCCACATCATGATGATGAGTTTTCCACTACTTCTGCACAGTTGGCTCTCGATACCACTGTCAAAATCAATGCAAAGTGGTCAATGCAAATTGCCCACAGCTGGGATCAAACCAAACACGCAGGAATTACAAACCGCGTTTGCAATGCCTAAGCTAGAGACACCAACAAGCAGTGTATATCATCATCATCAGCTGCCTTGTCGACTGGCATGGGCGATCATGCCTCTCCACAATCTACGATCTCCTGCAGCTTGTATCAATTCGTGTGCAGACACACCTCCATGCCATGCAATAAGACTGTCAAGAATCTTCTCTCGTTGTCACACTCTATCCCTCCTTCCACAGGTCTTTACAGTGGTCAACACATGTTCAATTCTCCCTCTTCTCATAACATGGCCAAAAAAGACTGTCTCCTTCTGATTTCTGTGTTTAGCTGTCTTTGGGCTCCCGCCTCTTTCAAAATCTCTTGGTTGTTATTTTGGGCTGTCCAGGGTATTTTCAACATTCTTCTGTAAAACCACATCTCTGATGCCTCAAGAAATTGTTTGGCCTGCCTACCTTTGTCCAGGACTCACAGCCATATTTTAAAACAGGATGTATGTAGCAAGCAAGAATTCTTTTCTAACCCTCAATGACAAAGATATATTCATAAGATGCTCTTCATTTTATAAAAATGTGCCTGTCCTATTCTGTTTTTTTTATCTCAGTAATGCATCTTCCATCTGATGTTATCCATGTGCCTGCCTGTACCAAAATAACACCACTGACTTTTATTATACACTAGCTGTACCCGGCCACGCGTTGCTGTGGCATAGTTTGGCTAAATGAAAATGAAAGAAAATAGAAATCGCACATGTCTAATACAATCATTGTCTGCTCAGATATAGAGATAGTCTTTTCTTTAATCCCCGCCACCCCCCCCCCCCCCACCACAACTAAATCCACCTACTACTCTCCCCCTCATCAAAGGTTTTTGGAAAAGAAAGACAATGGAAATCGCATGTGTCTAATATAGTTAATGTCACAATCATTCTCTGCACAGAAATAGAGATAGTCTGGTTTTCCAACTTTAGAACATGCACCTTATAATTGTGTTTTTATATTAGTGGTCGTTTAAATGGTGTTATTAGCACAGTAACAAAAATGGTTATTTGGTTATCACATGCTAAAGCTGTTTGTATTTTTATAGGGGACGGAAGTAAAGCTACAACTGTGCTTGTGAATAACAAAGTAAGTCGTAAAAAATAGAAAAGCGGAGGTAGCGTTAGTAAAATATAAACAAATTAGGTAATGAGAACTTGAAAATCATGTGTAAAGCTCTTTAAGTTCTCTTAAATTTAAGTCATTACCCCCTCCCCTCCCCTCTTCCACCGACTACTGCTCTCTCCCTCTTCGAAGGATTTGAAAATCACTACCTGGCGATATTTTGTTGCTGTAACTGACATTGACATCCCTGTCCATCTGGACTAAAATGGGGAGCAGGAATTGTAATAGGTAGTGAATGGGGCTAGTGTAATATTTACCACATCATCCTTCAAGTACCAGTACAACTACTACCACGACCACCACCACAGTAGCTAAAATGATGTCACTGCTATCTGTGTTACCATCGTAGTAGAGAGAGAGTCGTGAGCCAGGAGATTTGGTTCCGCATGGCTAGTGCTGTCGCCACAGACTGGTCAGGTTAGGATGTATAATTTCACTTCCCAACAGAAGAACGCCATAACCTTACCGGCGGTCTTCACATGAGAGCACTATGGTATAACAGCCCAACCACAACTATTACTACTGCTGCTACTTTAAGTGGGTAAAGCAGTTACTGTGACTTAAAGCTCTCTCAGTTAATAGTTTGCCCCCCCCCCCCCCCCTAAATTCACCGACAACTCTTTCCCTCATTGAAGTAGTTGGGAGAAAAAAAAAACACTTGAAAAGCAAATGAACACAGGAAAAAAACACCATAATTAGGAAATGAACGCCATGGTAAACAGCACAGCTTAAAATTCCTATGCAGATGAAATAACTAAATCTAAATGAACATAAATGGAAATCTATGAAATTTCAGCGTAACCATGCAATCGGAAAGTTTAAAAATGCAATCATAAGTATGCGAAATGGTCAAATTTAATTATCAAATGGTTTACCCATTTACTTGTCTTTTTTTTTTTTTTTAAGTATTAAGGCAACATGGCTAGTGCTGTCACCACAACAGAGCAGATGGGGATATTATTTTAGTCCGGGGTAAAAAAAAAAAAAAAAAACTACTGCGGATTCGAACCCTGGTCTCCCGCACAGGAACCCAGTGTTCTAACCATTTGACCAAGCAGCCACTTAATCGGATCAACGAAAAGAGAACTTAACTATTAAAGATGTGTGTCCCTACTACTGTGTCCCTATTATTACACAACTCAAAACCGCAGGCAATTGTTTTCTCGTAGACAGATACTCCAGATATATTAATGAAACGGCACAACAATAGAAATTGCACGTGTCTAACACGGTTAATTAAGTTAATGTCGCAGTCAATGTCTGCGCCTACGTCGAGATAGTCCTTGATGCCCCCCGCCCCATCGAAGGTTGTTTGAAAAAAAAAAAACAGAAAATAGAAATCGTGTTTAATATGGTTATTGTGGCAAATATAGAGATAGTCTTGTTTGCTGTACCACGACCTACTCTATGTATTAGAGAAGGCGTTGGCTGCATGTAACTCGCCGGCGAATGGTGGAAGCCTTGCATTCTGACTACGGCGCATGCGCAATTACTAACGTGGCTATAATTAGAAATCACTAAAATTATAAATATTAGTTTCGAATATTATGGCTTAAATTGTGGTCACCTATCTCTAACAATGACAGGTTGAATTTTAAATCATGATGGTTCAACATCCGGTATCAAAACAAACATATCCTGAAAATTTCAGCTAAATCGGTTCAGTAGTTTCCGAGTCTATAAGGGGCAAACAAACACACAAACATTGATTTTTATATATATAGATTTAGGAACAATTCTTTTCTTCCCATTCTTCTGTCTTCCCATTATTCAAACTGAGGCTCATTCTTCCACTTTCTACCACCACAATGTCTATCATTTCCTGTAGTTCTTTCTGACTTGTTTCTATCAAGACTGTGTCATCAGCATAATGCAGATTGTTTATAGTGTGCCCACCAACCACAATTCCAGGCATATCAATTAAAGATCTCATTACATATTCACTATGTAGTGAAAATAAATCAGGTGACATTACACATCCTTGTCGCTTACGCCCCTCTTTATGCTCTGGAATGTACCTAAACAGTTGTTAATTCTTATTGCTGCTGTTTGCTGCCAATGCATATTCTTTATTATTCGTAGATCTTTTCTATCAATTTATAATTTTTCTCAGTTTGATTACTTCTTCATGTAGCAGTGTATATAGGAGTAATAATATTTTTTTTTAAATAACAAAGATTTATTTCAAATAAGTGTATTAATATAAATCTTACCTGTGCATTTCCATTTAAAGTAGATGGAGGGAATGATTTTCGAGTTGAAGAATTATTACGTCCGCGTCCATTTGTCCCAGAGACAGGTCGGGGAGGTAATGTTTGTTGTGTGGGAGGTGTAGGTTGACCAGTGTTTTGAGGAATTTTTGGGCAGGGGCTGTGTATTAAGTTTTACGCTGCAAAATAAAAACACAAGATACAGATCAATGAACATTTTTCCCCCAGTGTTAGCAAGGACTAATCTCCACTACTGAAAAAAGATGTCAATATTTACGGGATCACACAGATTATCACAGATATGTTCGTACAGAATACTGAGACTGTGCAACTACATGCTCACCTGCTTGTCCTACGCAGTTTGGATGGTGTTCTCTTCTCAACAGCACCAGCTGAAACAATACATATACTTTCTGATTTAATTTACTTGATATAAGTTAAAATTAACATGATGATTTTAAACAATTTACTTTGGGCTATTTAAATAAATTCACAATGTTGAATTAAGAATAAGTTGAATTAAGAATTAAATTCACAGTATTTAATCAGCTTTATCATATTCTAACAGCAAATATAAATTATCCCAATTCTCATAAAATATATTACTCTTCTTCTTCTTCTTCTTCTCGTTTACCGACTGTAAACTCTGGCAGAAAGTTCTGGCTGTTTATCCACTTCTGGACTCAGCCCTTTTCCAGAAACTGGGTGCTGCATGCACATCTATTTCACAGATCTGACTCACCTGCATGCAGACTGTTGGTTCCTTGTCTCTAAGGCAGATTTACTCTGACATCGAAGAAAGCTCCCAATTACGACATGTTTTTGGGTAGGCAGTGGGTTTACTCTCGTTTCCCAACAATGGGCCCTGGAACCCACACAGGGAGACATAAAACTAAAATATTGCTTTATGATGAGTATAGAGCATAAAATCATAAGTTGACTGTAATTAAACAAATTTATTTGTTATTATTATTATTTCTGATTTTTTACAGTTTATGCATTACATTAGGCTCACGCATGTTTACTAAAGTGATCATCAACTTTTGACACATGTTTGTGGTCAATGTGGCACCTGTTGCTGGCACCTTTCCATCATTCAGATGATAGTGTTCTATTATTGTTGCGGGTGCACACAACTTTATATCATAGTACAGGCCAGCCGGGGGTCGCCGTGGCCGAGCGGCTAGACACTCGCCGCGGATTGGAAGGTCGTAGGTTCGCTCCCTGGCAGAGCCGGACTATTTAAAAAAATGACCTTGGCTCCCAGGTCGACCCAGCCTTGAGTGGGTACTGGGTGCAGTCCCAGGAAGTAGAGGCGGCCGGCGTGATGCTGACCACATCACCCATCTTGTGCCGATTGGTCTATAAAAATATAGGTCTAGCCCTATATGCCCTATACACCTAAAGGCGTGAGAAAGGGTCCTTTACTTTTTTACTTTTACTACTTCCTTAAAGGCCAGCCACTACAACTTTCACACATCTGTAAACCAATGGGGCAATCCCCTTATTTCGCCTTTGTCAGAGATTACTATGCATCCAATCCTCTACTCAAAGATCACAGGGGAAAGATCATCTTAAAAATTACCCTGAGTTGGCTTTTAACTGGGCAATCTTTTAATGATGCAGGACCTTGAATTTGCTTCAGACCCCAGTAAACAACTATCAAATTATGCCAGGTAGCTTATGTGGAGTGTTGGGGAGTTTTAAGGCATTAACAATATTCTTCTTCTTCTTCTTCGCGTTCACCAGCTGTACACTCTGGCGTAAAGTTCTGGTTGTTCGTCCACTTCTGGACTGCAGTCCTGCTCCAGAACCTGAGTGTTGCCTGTGCATCAGTTTTACAGATCTGATTCAATTGAATGCAGACTGCTGGTTCCTTGCCTCTCAGGCAGATGCACTCCGACTTCAAAGGAAGCTCCCCAGTTAGTCGACTCTTACGACAGGCTTTTGGGAAGGCAGTGGGTCTATTCTTGTTTTCCCTACAATAGGGCCCCGGAACCCACACGGGGGATTAACAATATTAAGCAGGGCACTATTCCGTTCACAACTCCATTTTCATAATAATTCTCCACATGGTCACAGATGAAAGTGATTTGTATGATTCTACTTTAAGTTTATAAACTGCTCATGAAACGCCAGTAATTATATACAAATGATATATAAACATGAATGTATTGACGAGAATTAATATGTTTATCATCATGTGCCCTGCCAACTGATGTAGGCACTCATGCGTCTACACAGATCACAATCCCTGGTTGTCTGGAACAGCTCTCTAGATGATATTCCTCCCTACCATTGTTTCAGCCCATCCAGCATCATCCCTCTTGGTCTGCCTCTACCCCTTTTCCACTGATCTTTCCAGTTGTCACGATGTTCTCCAATGTTTCTCTTTTCAATATGTGGTCAAAAAACAGTGTTTGTCTCTTTCTTATTGTTGTATACAGAGATCTACTTTTATTAGCTTCTTTCAAACAATCGTTGTTAGTTACTCTGGCCATCCAAGGTATTCGTAACATTTGTCTCAGAAACCACATCTCTGTCGCTTAACAATTCTTCTTAACTTGTTCAACTGACATTCCAAGATTCGCTTCTATAAAGCAGAACAGGTTCTATGTAACATTTTAGTACTGTCATTAAATGAGAGCGACTTATTACATAAGATATTTTATTTTCTGATATGCTGCTTTCGCTTGACCTATTCTGCTTTAAATCTCTGTCATAAATTTTCCATCTGATATGAAGTAATTATATACAAATGATCTAAACATGTAATGGATTAAAGGGAATTAATAAGTAATAAAATTAAAAAAAGAACCTTTATATTTAAAATGAAGCAAATGTTGGCTAGATCTGTTAATTAATATCCCTCTGATACTGCCAGATAAATATACACTGCACTCTATACTGAAGCAGGCACAAACTGGGTCATCAATATTTTCAACAACACTCAAGCACTGTAAAATAGTAAGCTGCTAATAAATTTGTGGCTTGTAGTTAGAATACGTCAATTCATATAGTTAACTTTGCTGACAATTAATAAAATAATCTTCTGCCCCTCTTATATAATGTATTACCACAGAAATGTCAGTTGTCGGAAAAATCTGAAGGTTACAGAAACAGATTTGTTAAAAAAATTAATGTGCATGTTTTGAGGGGCACTCATAGAAGCAGATGAAAGAAAAAGAGATTAAAATCAAGGGAGCTATAAAGATGTAATAAATAAACTGTTAAAAGGTAAAGGGCTTCCCTTCTATGGGAAAGGGGGGGGGGGGTGCTGAGTGGTCTCGTGGCATGGCTGCCTCGAGTGCTGAAGTTCCCGGGTTCAGGCCTTGGTGAGGGCTAGGATTTTTTTCACAAGGACTTCTGGTAATTTTTCCTGGTCTCTGGGTAGTAAGACCGGACGCCAGTGTGTATTGTTTCGCACGTAAAAAATCCCCTGGTAGTTGAAAATTGAAAAGAGTAGCCTAACAACGCTGCCCAGCCAAAAAACTTTGAGTTAAAGATCTACCCAAAGTAGTTCAGGACCCTTTCCGGTGCTACGGAGTTTGTGCACTGCACTGACACATTCTTCGGCCCCAGGCTTGAGTTAGAAGTAGAACGGAGCACTTATGGGTTATTTCCCTTTGTGCCATGATGCTGATCTGTTGTTCAAACCATAATAAAACTTCTATGATATCCTGGTTTATGCGAAACATGGTGCAAGGCCTCTATTTTCTTGACTTAAGGACACCCAAAAAATAAAACAAAAACTGTTTTTGTTTTTTTGTTTTTTCCACTTTCCCTATTAACCACTTTTTAAGGCAGTGTAGAACAGAGGGGTCTTGAGTTTGAGGATTTAGAGCTCTATGTTAAGTACAGTTGCCATAGTGCAGGTTAAGATTTTATTTTCCCCAGACAGAAAAGAATGCCTTATAAAAAAACTGTGCCTGAGTCTCCTGACTGAGAGCCAAGATTTATTTAACTGCTTGGCCAGCCGCTAATTTCAGAACAAACATTCATTAAATTACACTTTCAAAAAGCTTGACCCTGAATTATTAAATGTGTATCATTTGTATTCATTCGGATAAATGCTGTTTACTAAATTGCTCCAGTTCTACATTTGGATGCAGACATCACAGAGATGATTGTATATAAAGCACTTTTTGAAAACGTACTCTGCTACTAGAAGCCTTGATTTCTCAGATAATGTTTTATGTTGCCTCTCAGGTCAAATTACAGTATTGATCCTTGATTTTAGCTTGGATTAGTGATGATAAATAATTTCACAAGCATTTAATGGCATTCAAAGTGAGCAGAAGACTCAAATAAAAAAGGACAAATATTCCAGTGAATTCATCGGATCAGGATATAATGGACTGTGTTGCATGGAAGGGGAATAATAAATAAAGACACAGGACAGAATAATTGCAGACAGGGTACCAGCTGAGCGTCTGAAAAGAAGAGTGTTAAAAACATGTGATGGCAAGCAACACTGGTCACGAATTCTCACACACTTATTGTGGAAGATTTTCTGAATCCAAGCTGTTCTTGCTGGTCACATTCACCAACTTCATGGTCTGTGATTCCATGCCCTCCTACAGTACTATGTAACACTATCGTCTATAAAGTCGGAAAGATGCTAACATTAAAATAAAAGTTATATCAGTGCCAATTAATACCTATGAAATTATTCTTTATGTAACCTAAATGGAGGAAACGGTTTCTCAGCAACTGGATTAGTAAGAAAGATTTGTTTAAATAAGCCCACTGAAATGTCAAAATTTTTTTAGTAAATTGTTTAAAAGAATATGTTCTACAAATTGAAAATATATACAGTATAACTTTGTTAACACAAGGGAACGAAAAATCAAGAGTTCATGTTTAAAATGTCTGTGCTAACCAGGGACTCCAATTTCAGTGCTGCAACTATGTACAATAGATGTATTATGCCATCATAGAAAATCCTACAACTCATTAAGCACATTCCAAATTGGGAATGCAGTGTTGTTTTCAGCAGAGCGAATTGCAGCTACTCACAAGTCCATTGCAATAAGCTCTCTTCATAAGAGCATTAATGACCTGATCCATAGGCTGAGGAATGAATGAAAGAAGGAATCAAGAAATGACATCACTGCACTTGGACATTCACAAATGTGCTCCATCCTCTTCTTCAGTAACCAATGAAGAGCTGACATGCTAATAGTATCAGTTGCAACCTGACTAAAAGTCCGCCTCTCAATAAATGTTGAATATCTTCCAGAAGCTCTGCACACCCCCTGTTAAATAGTCTTTCAGTGTATTGATCCTCTATTTGTTCTTTTGCACTGTCCATCTGATCAAATAGAGCCTTCACCACAAATGTTTTATCATTTACTAGCTCACTATCCAGAGGAGCGGCAGCAGCTAATAT